CAATTGAGAGGAAATCCTGTGCAGATAGAGTGCCTTTGGCCTGTTAAATGACAAATGTCCAGTACCAACTAAGACATTATTAGTTTTCATTCATCTCTCCCCTGCATCCCTTTTTCATTCTGCTATAGAAAAACACAATGCAGCCTAGCATTAGCATACCTGAGTTCACTGATTTCAGAGAACCCGAGTACATGGAACTTGTTCTTGGGCTACTGATACCAGGTCTTACTTTGAAAGAACTCAGGATGTTATTGCCAGTGACTTCGCTGGGACTTCCAGGTAAAATAGTAGCTTTTAATGGAAGTTTCAGACTTAGAGCAGATATTTTCCCCAAAGCCTATAATAAAACAGGGACTCACTGGCTTACAGGTCTGTCTTTGCTTTGTAAGAAAAATAAAGTAAAGCCAATTCCTCAATTTTGCTGCTTCCCTTATGCCAGGAAAGTGTGCTGCTGCTTTGCTTCCTCAAACCCTTTCCTCAGACTTCCAAAATGTTCATGAAGCCTCCGCCATAATCAACCTCATCTCTAGTGAAATGCATGCCGACCCTTTGTCACCTTTCCCCTCTGCAAATATTTGAACGATTCAGATTGTGAGCTTTGGGAGTAGTGACTTCAATCTCTCCCTCCTTCCTGTTACTCTGTACAGCACCATCTACACATAACAGCATTGTATAAACTAGAATAAAATAAATTAATGGGCCGAAAGGTGAGGTTATCTGTACTGAAGTACAGTAGGACACTGCCTGAGAATATCCTGTGTCTATCAGATACTTTTCTTCACATCTGTTTGCATTTTGATGAGGAAGAACTATGGGATTTTCTCCTGCTTAAGGAAGAATTTTGATGTTTATAACCCATTCTTTTCTTACAGTGTTTTGTCTTATCCATTTTTAGCAGGAGTGGATAAAGTATAAAAGCCTTCCTTAGTTACAACAGCTGCAGTCCAGCACGTCCAGAAGACACCAGGTTGGAGAAACCTTGTTCAGCCTCTCCTAAGTAGTTTCCTCAGAGCACCTGCTTGGAGTGGGCGAGGGACTCAACCATCATTCATTCGACAGTAAGAAGGAAACAGCTCTCATTCAATTAGATTATCTTTTTGTTGTGGTGGCAAACCAATGAAATGTGGATTTTTTTGTGAAGGCCAGATTAATCCTTAAGAAGCAATAAAACAAAGCCGTACAAAGACTTACTGAATTCAGGTTCTCAACGTTTTAAGGCTGGGATTCCACATTTTAATCTGACCTGAGACACACCTAGCAAGAGACTGCAAATCTAAATAAGTACACCACAACTTGTGGTCCTCTAAATGTTTTGGCCTGTAACTCCCATTAGCCCTAGCCAGTGTAGGAAATGGCAAGGGATGATGGGATTTGTAAGCCAAAACATATGGAGGGCTTCAAGTTGCCCATCTCTGATCTGAATACTCTGGTATAAACAACTTACATAAATGGTTGTATTTTTGAAATTTCTGCCATGTGTTTGGCTGTCAAGATAGGTTCAAATGAAAAGCACCTAAATAACACACACATGATTTTGTCAGAATAAAAATATTAACTGAAAGAACTCAAGTTGAGAAACTCCATCAGCTCCATTAGATGTCCCAGGCATACTATTTTCATTTGCACAGAAACTTGATTTGAGGATGGGCATCTTTTAGATCTAAATTCTGCTGGAACCCTCATGTCGGCCATTCCTGCAAGCATGCAAGGGGTCTTCTTTAGCTAGGTGAAAGAACTGGACTAGTGCCATATTCTGCCGGAAGTCAAATGCATGCACACATGCATGACTTCCCAGAAGAAACACACACTGATCTTCTAGTTCACACTGTCAGGCAATTCTAGAGGGACAGTGGCACATGTTTCCCTCCCTCAGGAGACGTTCTGAACGTGTGCAGTGTTCCTCCCAGGGCCCACGTGTGTTACTAGGCAACCTGATTTAACACCAGGGCAATCTTGGACACCCTTTTAAGTCCCTCTCTGTCCCTCCACCTCTCCCCAGTAGGAGAATCTTTCACCTGGAAACAGAATGATCTGTTCTTCCCAACAGAGCTGCCATCTCCCCCAAGCTCTTCAAATCCTATGGAGAGGAACACAGCTGAGGTACTCAGGGGTAAGTATGTAACACAATGTTGTATATGTTATAAGAGAGCCTCTTTTTGAAAAATAATTCTGTCCTCATTAAAACATGGCCTATGGGTGCCAGGCACTCATCTGGTTATAACGAACCTTGTATTTCCTGTATTTTAATGGGTTGTGTATTAAGGAGAGAGAGAGAGATCTAGAGAGAGGGGAAGGAATGCGCGCGAGAGAAGTGCTTAGTACTTGTTCGTGGCAAAAAGGTGAGCCTGGGCGGGCGTCCTCAGCAAGAGCCCATTCCACTCTGAAGAGAGAAACAAACTGAGCTGAAGGCTGTCAGGTCCCATTAACATCTTCTAAACCTCCACTGAAAGCCATATGGAGTGTGTGCAGCCAGGAGAAATTAGGGGTTCAAGCAGGGTGAATTTTTCATAAAGCGAATCACTCCTGGAAACCGGTTACACTGTCTTTAATAGCTGCCGCTTGAAATGCAATGCTCACCTTCAAACTCAACCTACTTAGGAGGACTAGACCGATTCCTCGCAGAAGGATTTATCTAGCTGAGAACAAAACTGGTGCAAGAGTTCCCAATGGCGCAAGGAAGAAGAGAAAATTCTGAACCTTGGGCTACTTATGTACTCAAAACACTTGGGGAGGAGAACCGCATTCCCTCAGTGGATGCTAATAATGAGGCAACAGAGGTCTAAGGTGATGCATTAGAAATTCAAGCAAGGGCAGGAGGGCTTTGTGAATTAATGGATCTGGGATGGGGGGGGGGGGGGGGACAAGAGAAGAGAAGACAGATGCTTTGCTTAAAAGTACCAGCCGTTTCCTTTGCAAGTGGTGTGTCAGTTTGGAACACTTGTTCTCCGACACCTGTCTGAATACTACATGTCTCCTAAAAGGTGACAATAGAGATGTGGGGCAGATACCCACCTTGCCATCTTCTGTGTAGACATTCTCGTGAAACCCCTTTACGATTGTCCGGTCAATGAAGAGGCTTCGCATCACCACTATGACTTTTAACACTTTTCCTAAGGTGACCTGTCAAAGAACAAGGATATGCACTGAGAAAAAGTGTGTGCGGTGGATTCCCCACCCCCAATATTCGGAACTCACAAGACTAGAAAGTAACTGGGAGGTTCCCAGCAGCAATGGTCTACACAGAGGAGCAGCTGTTCCTTGTGGTGCTCCCAGGGACATGCAAATTCTACTGCCATTTTGAGTTCTCTTTCCATAAGAGTTAGGAATGCCTACCATGCATTACAACCTTGTCACCTACATGTTCCCAATGCTGAGCGAGGGGGAAGTGGTGTGCCCACCTGGGGAACTGTGCAGGGTCAGATTCTGCCCCTGCCCTGAGCTTGCCCACTCCTGCTATATATTAATAGTGCACTTGTTTGCCTTAAGCATGGATCCTTAACGAGCCAAATCATCATCCATGCAGCGACGGACTAGAAGATCTGGGGGAACTCCAGGCTCTACAGAAGTATGATAACCTGTGCAGGGAGAAGGACAGGGGGAGTGCATCCCTGTTGGTTCTTCTGGACCTCTCGGCGGCTTCGATACCATCGACCATGGTATCCTTCTGGATAGGCTAGCGGGATTGAGGGTTGGAGGCACTGCTTTGCAATGGTTCCGCTCCTATCTCAACGGTCGATTCCAGAAGGTAGTGCTGGGGGACCATGTCTCTGCGTCATGGCAGCTATGCCATGGAGTACCACAGGGCTCCATTCTATCCCCTCTGCTATTTAACATCTATATGAAACCGCTGGGAGAGGTCATCAGGAGGTGTGGCCTGTGGAATCATCAGTACGCTGATGATACCCAGCTCTACCTCTCGTTTTCCACTAATCCAGGTGAGGCAGTGGCTGTGCTGAACCGGTGCTTGGCCGAGGTAATGGAATGGATGAGGGCCAATAAACTGAAACTCAATCCAGACAAGACGGAGGTCCTGTTGGTTGGCGGATTGGGCTTCGGAGAGGGTGGATTTGACCTGGTCCTGAATGGTGCAACACTCCCTCTTAGGGATGAGGTCCGCAGCTTAGGAGTACTCCTCGACCCGGAGCTTTCTTTGGAAGCTCAGGTGACCGCGGTGGCGAGGAGCGCCTTCCTTCAGCTTCGGCTGATTAATCAGCTGCGCCCCTACCTGGAGTTCGACTGCCTGGAGACAGTGACACACGCGCTGGTGACTTCCCGCCTAGACTTCTGTAACGCGCTTTACGTGGGGCTTCCCCTGAAGACGGTCCGAACACTTCAATCGGTGCAAAATAGAGCTGCCAGGTTGCTGACGGGGACGGGGCGTTATGCTCACATGACTCCAGTCCTCCGTCAGCTTCACTGGCTGCCCATTGAAGCCCGGGCCCAATTCAAGGTGTTGATTATGACCTATAAAGCCCTAAACGGCTTGGGTCCTGGCTACCTGAACGAGCGCTTACATCCGTATATGCCCGACCGCCCTTTGAGATCTGCGGGAGAGTCCCTTCTCCGGGAACCCTCCATGAAAGAAATTAGGAGAGTAAGTACTCGGAGGAGGGCTTTCTCTGCGGTGGCGCCCAACCTATGAAATTCACTCCCCAAAGAGGTCCGCATGGCACCGTCGTTACTGGTTTTTCGGTGCCAGGTAAAGACCTTTTTATTTAAGCATCATTTTAATTGTTAAAATATATGATCTGGCCAGGGCAACTTCTTCTTCCTTCTCTTTTCTCCTCCTATATTATTTATTTACTTACTTTATACTGATAATTTTAATTTTATATTATTATGTTTGTAGCTCAGTGTATTTTTTGTATTTTTGTATTTAGTGGTAATTTATGTTCTATTGTATTTCAATGTATTTTATTGTGTTGTAAGCCGCCCCGAGGCTTCGGCAAGGGGCGGCATAGAAATGTTATAATAATAATAATAATAATAATAATAATAATAATAATAATAAATATCTATTACGCATTTCTTTAACAGCCCTCAGGAGAAAAACACAAATCCCCTAACAACCCAGGGCATGTCCAGCAGCCATTTTAATACTAACTGGCTGCTACAGGGGATGTGGGGGACCAAAAATCAGCAACTGGAAGGGAATGGAATGGCGTATGCTGGGAAAGGGTATTTTACTTGGTTGAAAAAAATCCTCATATCAACTGAAGTCACACACCAAGTCCACAAAGCAAACTCAAAAAAGGTTTCTTCCCAAACATGTGTTTTAGAATTCCCAGGAACACATTCACAGAAATATGTTGAGATTTTCTAAAACTCACACACTTAAAATTACTAGAGTGTTTCCTAGACAGGGGCACTCAACAACCCATTATTTCATCCTAGCAAAGAATAAGAGAACTGGACACACAAGAAGAAATGGTGCAAGTCTGAAGTTTAGGAAACCTGTGTATTACTGTGAGACTTACGCTAAACATTATTACATAATGCTTTAGGAAAAAGTTCCAGAGGCTTTCATGTTTAGAGAGAAAGCAGCATGGCTGGTGCAGGAATACTCAAAGCTATAGGCCTATTTCTCTCCTACACTTGGCCTCGGATTATTTCCCTGTTTACTAAAAACACTAGGGAAGTTTTGCAAAAATGTAATTTCATTACAGTTCTGTTGGTTTCTAGACCTTTGGTTTTTAGGTGAAAAGAGCTGCTTCCCCACAGCACCTTTGCAGGGAAAAACACACCTCCCTCTAAGTTTTGGCCTTTTTGCCTTTAAATGCCCAGGTCCAAATGCGTGGGAATAAAGTATTCAGCCCAAGCTTGTGCAGTGCTACAAATGACTACTTCTCAACAGATGGCACCATCAAGTTGTTAATGGCCGCACGAGCACCTGAACACGAGCATCAGCTGTAGGGTAGAGCTACTTTAAGGCCTGAAACTACCCTGTCTATCCTAGCCAAAGTCCCACGTTTCCCTTGGGGCATAATACATGTAATAAAGCATGTAATAAAGCATCATTGTGTGGAAAGCTGGCACAAATTAATACCCTTAAGAATTCTCAGTAGTACATTACAGGGAAGAAGCAGAAAGATAAAGCATAAAAATAGCAATTAATTAATCTTTCTTCACTGCTTTGCTTCGGCAGAAATATTAAGCAGTGCTCAAAAACATACAAGCAACCCAGGGCCCTGAGTTTTAACCATTGTGAAAGATCCAAGATGACACTGATGCAGTTCACACATTCAACGGAGCCCATTCTGGCTTGTCTGACTGCACGCCACCATGGCAGTCTGCGGGGATTTGATTATTCAGTGCATGATCATGGCTTCTAATATCACAGAGACTGGAAGAGCATTAAACAACCTTCACATAAACCATGGTCTGCTGTTAGGCTGTGTGAGACTCACTTAACCATTGCACAACCCTTGCTGCCTGAGTTCCTGTCGTCCGACTTCTCTGGCTGGATGTTGAATGCTTTTCCCCTCTGCGCACCCCTGGCTGAAGGACACCCAGAGCTCATGGACATGGGCAGGCAGATGTGCTTGGCTTGCCAAGGTGGGCCTGTTACACTCCATTTCACGACAGCTTATGTCTTACTTATTCCATGCAGAAAGTCGGACTTCTCTTTTGAAAGCATCCTTCCTTATTATATTATTGCTTCATCACGTTTAACTCCTTTTCGCATCCACTTGTTCAGGACACTAAGGCTTCATGATGGTCTTGGCCAAAGCACAGAGGGCTCAGAAGGAATCTATCCAAACTCTATGCCAATATGTTTGTGCTGGAACTGAGATGCTCTGACCACAGGCTCCAAAGGGAGAGGGGATCTTTCAGTTTGCAAAACTAATCCGGGAAATAGTCTTGAAAGGAACACAAAGTTGTGCCTTTTCAATTCCAAAGCACTTGGTAGAAGAGGGCTTTGACAAGCTACAATGGCATTTCACAAAACCAGTTAGTAAAAACAAAAGGCAGCAGAGGGGAAATACTAAAATAGTCAAGAAGCACAAATGCCGCCCACTCAAAGAGGAAATAAAAATGTTAAAAGTTAGAGAAAAGAATTATGAGGGCTCTCCAAAAAATTTCCACACTTTAAAAAACTCTATTAAGAATTTAAAAATCTAATTATATCACTTTTCTACATAGTCACCTTCCTTTGTGATGCATTTCCCCCTGCATCATACCAACTTTTTAATGCCACCAGCAAAAAATATCTAAAATATATTTATAAAATACAAAAGTGCAGAAACTTTTTGAAGACCCCTCGTATATTGTCTTGATCAGTGGTTTTCAACCACCAGTCCAGGGACCAGTGCTGGTCCACAGGAGATTTTCTGCCGGTCCGGGGGGTGGAGGGGCTCACTCTGTTCGCTGCATACTAGTGCAGGGGCTGGCTGTGTTCTACCACTTCTTCCTCAGATGGCATCATGTTTGCGGGGGGTGCACAGTGCCACCAGGGGGTCCCGGGAGGGGAGAGATGGCTTAGTGGGAGCCAACGGGGAGACACGCTGCACCAATTTTTGTATTTTGTTCTTTTGTTGGCCTTTTTTGTTGCTTGGTTTCTGGTTGTTTTAGAGATTTTTCAATTTTTTGGTACTGTGTTTAGAAACTAATACACAGAATACTGTATTAGTATTATGTGTACGGTGCTTTCTGTTTCTGCCTCAGTGGTCCCTGAGGTGGTTTTCCTGTTTCTGCTGGTCCTCAGCTGTGGAAAGGTTGAAAACCACTGTATCTAGACTGCATTAACAACACTTGCACAAGCGACGGCAAGGCTGCAAAGAAAGGAGTGTGTTCAGAGACACGTGATGATTTTGCCCCTCGGTTACAAGCAGCCCTAAAGTCTATCTCAGAAGTAGTTTAGCCCATCAAATCATATGTTAGTATTTCTATCCAATTTCACAGACACCAAAATTCTTACTGAAGATCTTTTTTCAGTCTTGCTTGCTGCTACCAGGATGGAAGTTGGAGGATTCCATCGAGTTAGCTCACTTCAGAGATGGTTAATATGGATATCACGAATTGCCCTTGCTGAAAAATTAACCCATGGCAGAGGATTGATTAGAAGCACTGTTAAACATGATTTATTTTTGCAGACATGGCCTCCATTTATTTCTCATGCCAACAGCAACTCTTATCGGACTTGACCATCTAGAGCTCACTCCTAATTTACGGAAAGAGCTCCTTCATGTAGCACATGCGCTGGTAAAGTTGCTCACACTTTACACTTTATCAAGTCACCCCCCTCACTCAAACCTTTTGTTGTAGAATTTCTTTATCTATTATGCAAAGTAGCATTTGTTAAGGCTGAATGTTGCTCCTTTTTTTTTTTTTTTTAAGGGAAAGAATATGAGGTGAGGTGGGGGTCGGAGAGAAGGGACCTTCAGAATGGGAGCTTTTGGAGTGAAAAGAGGACAGGAAGTACGAGGACTGCCCGCCTCCCCCTGGCATACTAACTCATACAGATCAAGGATCTTTATCTAACCTAGCATCTCACTCCTTCCTGGAGTCTCAGAGAAGGTAACCTCTTACAAAAGTGAAATGGGATTTAATACATGGAAAAAGCTTCCTCTGTCCTGGGCTAGAACTTCTAATCTTAGCCATGGAAAGGAATGGCGACACAGCAGACTCAGAGCATTGACCTCAACTTCAGGCTTTCCAAGTATTTAAACTTCCTTGCCTTTACCTCACCAGGACGGTTGCACAAGGCTGTCAGCTGATCAGGAAAGTTCACTTAAACCGGCTCAAGTGTCAGTCCTTTGCTCACCAAGCCCACCTTCCTCTGTGAGTAGGGAAAAGGTATGTTTTGAGGCATTTGGAATCAGGCCAGCTCCAAATGTAAAGAAATAATGGAATCGGTCAGGATCAAAACAGAGCTATACCTGATAATGTGGGGGTACTGCATGCCGCTCCAGGCTTTTATTGTGGCCTCATCAGTCCTTGCTCTGTTTGCAGGGGCTCCAGATGATACTGCAATTCTCCAGTTTTGCTTTTTTTAAAGGCAAGGAGGGAAGGAGATGGAAGAAGGAAAGAAGGTGCTGTGGCACAACTGGGCAGCATGCAAATGATATTAATAAATAAATGTGCAGTATTTTTTAAATCCCCAAGCGAAGCACAAATCCCCCACTGCTGTATTTGCATTATCTTCCTATACAGCACAACCACTTACCCTTTAAGTAATAGAATGCAACGAAAGGAGAGGAAAGCTCTTTGTGCAGTATTCTGCACGTCATTCTGCGATGAAACTTCTGGGAGATTCACTATCTCATCTGGAAAAGCTCTTACTCGAAGTAACATAGATGGAAGTTTACCCTTTGGGGGGTAGAGTAAGAGGAGTCGGTGGTGGGCATGTAGAGAAAGGGGCAAGCGTACTCCATTCTACACTCCGACTAATACTCTTCTGAAGATGTTCAGCCAGATAAAAGGGTAGCCCCACCTGAACCCGATGCGCATGGGTTTGAAGGAGGTGCCTTCAGACAGTGCATGTGCTGATCTGCCACACGGGTGCTCTAAGTTGCACGGTAAATACTTGTTTTCTAAATTCTGCACAACAGGTGCAGCAATATCAAAAGCGTCCAATAACGAGCCAATGTTGTATTGACACTGGAACTGCAGCTGTTAACTGGAAAAGCAAAAGCAAAGCATTGCAGCAAAACATGACATTTTTGGAAATTAGCAGTGATCCTGCGGGACCAGAAATGCTACTTGGATGAGAGATGGGAGAAAACCTGAAATTATGAAGTTCCACATTCAGATATCTTGAACAGGTTAACATGCCGAGCAGCTGCAATTAGCTTCTCCACAGTGATCTTGGTTAGCTATGTACCAAAATAGGATTCAGCTGAGGAGCTGATGGAGGTTGTAACTCCCCTAAGGGCTCACCAATATTGCTCCCAATACAAACTGCAGCACTTCATCAGATAAACGGTTGGCATTTTGTTTACCCTTGTTTAGTTGTTTTGGAGTGCTGGTAACAAAGGGGCAATATTTTAACTAACTGGCAGCATCTGAAAACAGACATTACCACTAATATGCTTTAAAATAGTTAAGCAGGAATTATGCTTGAAAAGCAGTCCTAATTGTGCCAACCCCTAAAAGTGAACAAAATCTGTATGCACAATTAAAAACATCTTCTGACAAATTAAGAATGTAGAATGATAGACATGGTAGCCTGAGACCAGAAGTATGAACATTCTGTAGTACAGGAGTGATGCATCCAAGCCTTGTGAGATATTGTTGACTATAATCCTCGTTACTGACCACTGGTTAGGGCCAAGGCTGATGGGAGCTCGAGTCCAGCATTTCTGAGGAATAAAACATTCTTCCCCACTCCCCTAGTGGTTCCAGGGTGAAGCAGGGCTGATGACCCCGGGCTGACAAGACGGACCCTGCAACAAGAGCGGTGCCAACGGCGGGCGGCTTTCTGGCTCCAGAGGCTGGCCCTGCCTGGTGAGCAGGCAGCAGTATCCTGCAATCCCTTGAGCCCAAATAGCGGCTCAACTTCTGCTTCAGCAGTTCATCTCCTTCGGGCCTCATTTCTGCCCCTTTTCAGGCAAAGAAAAGGAGTTTTCCTGAGGAGACAGCCTTTCCTGCTACTGCTATTCTGCACCTAGTCTCCTCTTAACTCTCTTCAGAGCAGGGGGGAGGCCAAACAGCACCATGGCCCACAGCAGCTTGCCGTTCGCACCACTGGGCAGGGCCTGCGGCACTTTGCAGCACCAGAAGAGACGGGGAGTGAGGAGAACAGCATTGAGGCCGTTTCACCGGGAAAACGGATATGCTTTCTGACAACACCTCCCCACACTCCAGGCCCAGCATTTGACATCAACGGACACATTTCCTAACATTTCACTGCAGCTTTGCCTGGAAGTCAGCTTGACATGGCCAGCCCCATGTGCGATTCTTCTCCCCTAGAACCCTGCCAAGCTGCCCCATGACGCGGAGGCACTGCGGAAGATCGCGGGCTGGCCCAGCGGACTCTCGACTATCATGCACGCTTTCCCATAAATGCCTCTGAAGAAAATCCTGCCGTGGACACGGCAGCTCCTGTCTCATGCAGCCTCGCATATCAACTCCAGAGCAATCTCATTAGGGCACCGATCGGGTAGGTCAGGTTAGATTAAAAACCTCTGTGTAAGAAGGAAGCAGCTTTTAAAATATATATTTAGAAATAAGGATACTTCCACAAAAATAGCAGCTGACAAGAAACACTCCCAGTTTCCACCTCTCGAAGGGGGGAATGCCTAAGGATGTGGGTTGCGATGCACACTGGCTGCGATGCACGTGGGCATTAGCAAAAGGCAAAGCAGCACCCATGGCATTTTAAGGATTTCAGGCAGTTTGGTTAAATCATGCCGTAATCCACTTTGTTGGTTTTATTCTGGAAAAAAAGGCTAGTAATGCTATCAAAGACTAATACATAGATTATTGCTAACCTACAGATGTAATCAGTCCAATAAATCTCTCATCATTAATCAGTCCATTTTAACAGGTGACTGAATGCCCTAATTATATCATAACTGGGTGAAAGCAAGACACCCAGTTACAACGCACTTGAAGCTTTTCATGCTGTTGCACTGCTTCTGATAGTCAATATCTAATGTGGCCATCAGTATTTAGGATCCCTCATTCTGAAGTCCCAACAAACAAAATGTAACATCCACACAGAAGGCATGCTGGTGTTCAGCCTCAGTCTGAAGAGACACTGAACACCAGCTCTTTCTTTCACTGGACAGCCCTGGTTTTGGTCAATTGCATTGCAGAGAAAATGCTATTTTTTACTTTCTGAGGCAAGCTTCCCCTTACTAAATTTTACCTTCTTCTGTCGATACTCTGATAGACACAGTACTTGGCTTTTTAATATTTTGCCTGCAGGATATGTGCCAACTTGACCTTGACACAGAAAATTTTAATTCAAATCAATATGTGTACAAGGTCACTCTAAAATTCAATTAATATGAATGGGGGGGGGGAATGCCCCACAGATCTTTCAACTGAAAATGAAAGGGCTGCCAGCTGAACATGCATGCAGCCCTCTTACTGATAGGAATACATCCCAAGCTTGTTTTTAAATACTACAATGCTGATTCTGACTGCTGGGATGCAAACCCTCTGGCTGTTTTTAAAGGACAAAAAAGCGATAAAATTTGCATTATCCTTAAATCTTTACTGCCAAAAAACAGGCACAATGAAAATCCCTAAAGAAATCTGGGGATTAAAAAAATGCCTTTCTCCAATAATTAGCTGTTCTATCTGAGTTAATGAGGTACGAACAGTAAAACATCCAGTATACTAAAGAGTAGGATGAAATAAGAACAGAGACAGGTCTGGAAATATATTTTAAATTCATAGACACCAGCATCAAATTTTTAAGAGTGAGAATCAAATATTTAGGCACCAATCTTGCACAGCCCTGAAAAAACTTTTTGGACTCTTGGTGTTTGCACATCATTTCTTGGGACCTGGTTGTCATGCACCTTGAGGGAATTGGGCTGATAATATCCTTCCTGATTTTTTGTTCTGAAGGGGCAAAACTCAAGCATTTGAACTAGCCAGTCTTGCTGATAGTCTCATATTCAAGGTCTGGAAGCAATCCATCAGTATGCAAAAAGCAATCCATATGGCTTGACATGATCTAAAGAAGCACCTATGCATTTTTTTTACAGGTGTGCTTTTCAGAGCAGCTCCTTACAGTGCATCAGATACTGCTTATATGTATAAGAAAAGCTCTGCTGGATCAGAGGCTACTGAAGGCTATCAAAGGCTATCAAAGGGCGACTAGCTCTGATGGCTACATGAACCTGTAATCCTCACTCCTTTAAAAAAAAAAAGACAAAAACCCTCTCTAGTCCTGATTTCTCAAACTCGGTGCCTTTCGGAGATGATTGCCATGCTGATGGGAAGGTGATCATTCTTGTAGGACTACTCATCTGGAGAGCTGACCTACAGCAATGCCTTCTCCAAATGTGAGGAAACTCCCCCCACACCCCATTTAAGATCCACTGCTCAGTAAGTTTCAATGGATGTTCCCCTAGTAGTACTGAGAGAGTAACGAAAAAAATCTACGTCCTTTTTCATGTCACTTGTCATACTCTTGCAGGCTTCCAGAGTTTTTTTCAGTTTCCCGAAATAGTTTGTCCAGCAGCTACAAGAGGGGTATGTTCACACGTGTGTGTGTGTGTGTGTGTGTGTGTGTGTGTGAGAGAGAGAGAGAGAGAGAGAGAGAGAGAGAGAGAGAGAGAGAGAGAGAGAGAGCGCGCGTGCATGTGAGAGCCTACTTTGCACAGCAGCCACGTGGGGTTTCCAGAAAATTTACTGTTACCGTAAATCGATAGAGATCTAATTTAGTACATGTGTCTGATGTACATTCAGTAAGCAAAATAAGAAGTATGTCATGCTAATTTTACATGCTGTGTAAGCGTCTGATGAATTTTTCCAATATCTGAAAGCTGTTGAATTGAAAATATTTCATTGTAGGAGGAAAATGCAGTGAAGTGCATTCAGTGTAGCTTTAATCAAAATGAATTCAAAGCTTAACTGGGAAATTATTTTTATTGGGATATTTGTAAATATTTAAATACATGCATGTGCTTCCTCTGCATTACATTCTGGGCGGGGGGTGGGGGGAGAAAGCTCTGAAAACTGCCAGAACTTTAGCATTATACCTTAAGGGTTGTACACATAACTTTAAGGCCTTCCCAGGGAGAATGACCACAGTTAAGTGAATTGCAACTCTAAATTTAGCTTTGACTGGAATTGCATCCATTTCATTTCCCACTTTGACTCACATTCATCCATTTATGATATTGTCACAATTTTTTTGGAAAATGTACTTCCAAAATCCAAATGCTCAGACTTCTAAAACTTATAAGCATTCTGTTTTGGGAACCCTGTGTTGCCTCAGAAGCATACAAAACAGTAAGAGCAGCCCAGTATCCATGAAAATCTATTTTCTCCCACTGTGTGACAACCTGAACCCTTAGCAACAACCAGGACTGCAACAGAAGAGAAGACACTGGCTAGAACAGGAAGACCGGCACTGCGAGCTGTAGATGAGCTGAACCCAAACTCATGCCCTGATGCTAAACTGAAGTCTATCAGCCAGAAGCTGAGAAAATGGGCTTTCCAACTGAGTACAGACAACACAACAACCCACATGCAAGGGCTGAGTATGGATGGGTTGAGTGTGGCTTGTCACTGAACTGTGGATTGTTAACAAAGGTGATTGTGCTATCTGAACCTAGCTGCACAAACAAGCCATGGCTTGTTAACCATGAACAATGCAGGAAGAGAACCTATGGTCTGTTGTTGGGTTGTTAAATCTGGGTTGTTCGCCATCAATGCAACAACACTCGACCCTTGAGGGTGGGTTTCCATGTTGCCCAAACCCAGCCATTGTAAACCGTGTCTGCTGTAACACAAAGCTTTTAGCACTGGAATTGGCAATGAAGACCGTTTTATGGAAGACCTACTCCTGGTGGAGAGGAGCCTGTAAGATCTAGATCAAGGCCACTGCCTGTAGTCCTGGAGCCTCCTTAGAGATATGAGGACTATCATGACAGCATCTTCTCTTCAAAACTGACCTCCACTGTGCTGCCCAACCAAGCCACCTGCAGGCATCTATCATACCCTATAGGTATTATCAGGCCATGCAACCAGATGAAGCTGCATGTTACTGTAGCGTGCATGAAGCAACATACTCAATGTGCGAGAATATGTGCCCTCAGACATGCCCCAGAATCTTCTGGGATGTATGGCAGGCAAGCCAAGGTGGGGAGGTCTTTCTCAAAGCAGAAGGTTTGAAAGTTCCTGTATTCTC